GAGATTAGGATGGAGAGATTATGAAATTTTTTTGTTATCTTTCTATTTGAAATTCATAAATTAAAGGATAATTATCATATCTAAAATAATTAAATGAATAAATCAGTCAATAGTTTTTTTTAAATCTTTTTTATAAATTGAAAAATCAATAATTATAGAAAATTAATTAATTTGTCCTATTAAGTGATTTAAAATTTTGATAGTTATATATAAAAGAATAGATAATTATATTGTTAAATCATAATTTAAATTTAGATATTGTTATATCTTTTTGAGATCTATATATAAATTCTTATCTTTTTTATTTTTTATTTTTGTGTGGTTTCTATTCTTTTTTTCAATTTATTTTAGATGGAATTGTGGGTTTTTATTTATTTTTTAAAATTTAATTTATCTATGATTTCTATTTGTTTTTAATCATTATTATTTAAATAAGTTATGATGCGAGTTAAATATGTGATAGATATATGAATTTTATTGATTTAAAGTATGATAGTGGAAGATATTTTCAAATCAGATTTGTTTAGATAGACTTTATAGATTTTTAAAATTAGATATTGAGAGGCAAAAAAAATACTTTAGCTAAATAAATAAAAATCTAATTTATCAATTTCATCTGTTTGTACATCTAATTTTTTTTTGATTATATTTAATATAATATATATGATATAGATAGATACTCATAACTTTCATGAAAAATATTATTTAATTTTTTGGAGGAGAGAAAAGGAATGAAAGTTTTATTATTATTTTTTGAAAAAAAAATTGGCGAGAGAGATTATAATGGAGAGATTATGAAATATTTTTTTTATCTTCCCATTATTATTTCTAAAATAATTAAATAAATAAATCAGTTAATAGGTTTTTTTAATCTATTTTATAAATTGAAAAATCAATAATTTTAGAATGAGAGTTTGGAACTCTTGAGAGGCTTCTCATTAGAAATCTTATTTTTCTTATATAATATATAGATACTTGATTTATTAATAAAAGGACCGATTTATTATGAAATTAGAAACTTTAAGGGTATAATGTAATTTCTAAATTATAGAGGATAATTTGTAATTAAGTAAACCTCAAGTGGTGTGTTTGTAATTTATCCAAAATAAAATTATTGACATACAAATGGAGATATTCCCAATTGAAGTAGGAGCAAATAATAATAATAATAATAATAATAATAATAATAATAATCTATCTATCTATACTATATATTAAGTAAAATGGGGTTTTTAACCCAAGTCTTGTGAGAGCTTCAATCTCCAAAATTAAATTTCTTGATTTTTTAATTTAAAAAAAAAAAAAACTTAACATTTATTAACCTCTCCCAACCCCCAATCTTACCCTCATAATAACACTTTAATGCATTAAGAACAAGCATAAAAAAAAATTCTTTGAAATCAAACACACATGAATTCCTTGAAAAGTGCCAACACATATGATTATTATCCCTCATAATAACACTTTAATGCATTAAGAATAAGCATAAAAAAAATTCTTAAAAAATCTAACATATATGATTATTATCAAAATATTAAATTTTAATATAATATAATATAAAAAAAGACATTTAATTTCTCGAAAAGTCTAA